TCGCATTAAGCTGACTCATCGAACATCGATTGTCTGCACCGCCTAGTCAGAGTAGCAACCAATCATGTGCCGACGCGCCCACATACACGCACTGGGACCTGCATAAAGGCAAACCGAACCCAGTCAAGACACAGTCTCGCGCGCGCGCAGGGAGCAGGACGTCAACCTCTCCACAAGTCCACGGACAATCATGGAACACGTGTAGCAGCCAAACTGCACAGAAAACACGTTCCGTCGTCCGGACTTTCACCAAGGAACTCTCACATACGATAAGTTCCTTTTTGACTTGCTCCCATTTCGCATTGTACGCATTTTTATACGTGTCGCAACCATGCTAAAAACTTCTATTAGTGCACATTCACCCTCTGACCTGTATTATGTCTATCGCCACCTGTGCACTAACAAGCTCCTTCGTTTCCATCAGACGAGGTCTAAGTTTGCTGATGGTTCATTTATTAGCAGTGATGTATAAAACCAGACTCCATTTGTTCAACTGCCCTCAGATTTGTTTCCTGAGTGAAACATCGGATGCAAAATCACAAAAGAAAATTTTTCCAACCCACACGAAAATGATCTCAGGAGAACCAGCAAGTTAGTTCACCTAATTCAATAAATGAGTATTGGTTGCCAAAATTGCATTGGAAAACCGAAAAAAGGTTCTGATTGAACCGAAAAGCTATATGGCTCTTCTCCGCAATGTCCGGATTCAGACATCGTTTGAATACAATGAATGAAAATGTTTCGATCAGCCGCAAAAATCTTCCATGGGGAGGGACATCCTGCTCACAGGAATACAACTCAAATGTTGACATTATCAAAATAACTAGTAACATAAAATGGAATTCCGAATTTGGCAGGAGAATGTGAAGGCATTCATTCATTGTGGTGGGCCGGGGAGCACCGGCTGGCAGAGAAAAGGGATGTTCAATCAAAAGGATCAATAATGCAACACGCCGTACCACAACAGCAATTATCCTGTGGGATAGTGTAATCACAGCCATAAAAAGAGTCGAAGCCGATATGTGAGGGAGAAGAACGAGGAAAACCACCGGAGTTATTTTCGTTAGCATGTACTCCGTCCGCTGATTCTGTTGTCACACGAACCACCCTACAGGCATCAGTGCCACTGGAGGCCTTCTTCACGAAATTTTCGGAACTGGAATGGAACTTGGTGACTGATTCATTGCTCTGCACGCGTTTATTACTCGGACCAGGCCGGCGAACAGTCTGTCGTTTTTGTTCAGAGCTCGACTTTTTCTCAAAGGAAGACGAGGACCCAGGTGCAGACCGAATTGAACTTTTGAGGGTGCGACCAAAGGGGGCGATGGGCTCACAGCGATAGGCAGTGGATCGCTGATGCTTGGTGGGATAGTTGTCTAAACAGAAACGAAACAAATTGCAACGTCAATCACGGGGCATACGTGCAGTCGGACAAAATGGAACAAACTAAAAGCAAACAGAAGACTTTTCTGTTTGGTTTCATACCGCCAGACGTATATTGCTGTTAAGGGGAGAAAGGAGAAAGTTTTATGGTCAAAGTCTATCGTTCTAGCTTTTTGATGAAACGAGTGTGTTAAAGAAGAGCTACTGCAATTATAAGTACATATGACATTGGTGACTAGAAGGTCACTGCAGATCTGGTTTGCTGTAGTCTCCAATATGATGACTGTCAGTTCCATTAGTTCACAAAATCATCGCTGAGGTGACCGAAAAATTACTGCTTTATTTTTTAATCACTCTAGCTTTCTCGAAACGGTTTGGTCAAACAGGCGCACGTGAAAGAGCATGATATCTGTTGCGCCCAACGGTTTAGTTAGTTCAACGGTGACCGGACACCTGCTAGCGTATGACGGGTGAAAACTTCCACCACTCAAGGTATTTTCTTAAACGTTGTATTGTGAATAGTTTTCTACCTGAACATTAATTATATATTTAAATAAGCCCGTTCATCCGGATTTCAAATATCACGAAAGTCGTTTGCACAACTTTCGAGAGCATAAAGGAAAACTGGCATTGATATCGTTACAAATTTATCCAAAGAAGACGCATTAGAATATTTGTCTGACACATGTTTGTCAGCTTTTTATTGTAAAAATACGTGAACTCACGGTGAGAGGCTATACAACAAGCGTGAGGGAGCGGACCACGCATCAGCACACTGACAAATATCGAAGGGCGGGTTATTCTAGGTAACTGCTGCTATTCCGGTAGGAGACCGCAATGAAGTGAACCACTCCCATTAAGGATGACCCAAGCCGCAGACTTTCTGAATTCCCTATCTACCTACTGTAAAGATTCTTGCAAATATCACTAGTATCCCGATGAAGAAGAACGAGAACATTTAACACGGTATCGCAGAGCCGAATCGTTCCTCTTAATTGGGCATTACACTGTGGTTTTGTTTATCCGTTGGCCACCCGTTACTTATTAGGACTAGTGAGCTTGTGGGTGAATAAACCCGCTACTGTGCAACCCAAAACGGCTGAGCCACAGGTCAAGCTTTTAGTGCGTGCACAATCTACAGCCTACATTCTACAATGCAAAGAAACCACGACTGTATTGATAAGAAGGGTGATTACCTTTCTGAGGTCGCCCTTTTAATAAGTACACAATACATTATGAGAAGTGGTACTCGGAAGAGTGCCCGTCCTCCATTTGGATGGAAGTTTCATCCGGACCAAAACAAGGGACTGGTAAATACGGATTAGTGCAGCTGGGGGTTAGTCAACCTAGGAGCAGTGCACACTCAGAAAGTGAACTCGCAGGATACAAAGATGGGTGCACTATAAGAATAAGATAAACTATACATAGAAACCTATGAAAAGGTCTTCTGACATTTTCTATCACCGAAGATGGTAGAGTTGACTGAAATCGATATATCGACCTCACACCAACAATACCTTTTCTCGTAGGATGAATATCACATTGTTATAGTCGCCCCTAATTTTCATCCGGTAAGCCAGTGACCGAGTCACTGTAAAGGCTCGCTCATTTAGATGCATCTCTTAAATGTACAATACGGACAACACCAATCCGACGTTTCAAATGGTATTGGGCCTTAGGCTTGTGTTGGAGAAGTTTCCCGAAAAAGTACCCAATTAGTGGAGCCACACTGATTTGTCGCTCAACATAAGACAACTGTAAGAAAGTTTGCATATCAGCCAGTCAAAATTTGAGAAGAATAACTTATCTGTTTTATTATTTGAAAACGCACTCAATAATATTTTGCAAGCTATCGATAAATATGGTGCTTGTTTCCATACATTTATGTGTTTATCCACGCAACCGCTCAGGAGATGGCACACTGTACTTATATGACATTTGATCTTTTCAATATGCGTCCATTTTTGAAGAGTTTCAAAATTCATGCACATGTAGCATTATTGTGATCAGTTTGCCGAAACCCACTTATATTCTCGTCTAACCTACCGCGAAAGAATTATCAATGGATCTCTTTGTAATGTACTACTCATAAGGTTGCTGAAGATCCGTCGACAGCCCACAACCCGTTTCGCCCTATTTGGGGCTCATAAGGTAGACGCAGTCCTCGGGTTTCCGTCAACCTTATGTTCTACTTGAAACCAAATTGCACGGAATTAGCGAATATACACTTATTTACAAACTAATTTTGTTTTTCGAGAGACTCACCTGAAACCCAGCTGAATCTCTCGTTTGTGATGTTCTCAGGCAACTGAATGTGCTGCCTGTTTTTCTCATCCACTTTCAGACACAATTCGGTCGCTTTTTTGCTCTAGAAGTGTATTCGTCCGCTCAAGGTTGAGTAAAATACACATAGGTCCTGTCCCACCGAAATTCTTTGAAAAAGTCTAATCTCATAAGATTTTTACACAATAATTGTGCGTAAAATTTGCCCAGGCTTCGTACAAGCCCGTGAATCGTTTAAGTGCGTGGGTGTGGAGCACTTCGTTATACCGAGGTAGACGAACTACTTACAATCACCATATACATCCACAGTGGGCCAGCAGTACACGGCCTTCACTCTAGAGTGGCTTCCAATCTCATTTGCTGTGAATATTCTGTCTGGATGGTACGCAGTTCCCAAAGTTGTAACCCAGACTCGGCTGATATAAGGTGGGAACTTCTATAAGCTATGCTACTTTCCAAAATGCGACAGAATTTCGGCCAGCCCCCGCTAGCCTCATCATCGTTTTTGATGTAGCTATTTGTTCGAATAGCCAATCTCTCACCGTTGTATTGTGCACTAAACACAGTAACGTATTTCACACTTTTGGAGACCACGTCATTGTCCTCAACACCAGTGATAATGTCGGATTTGACCTGAAAGTACCGGCCAACTACAGTTCGTATCGGAGTTGTTGTGAAACTGTGACTTGCCTGCTTGAGTCATGGTCAAAGACAAAGATCGAAAAAATTATCGGACTAAAAAATTATAAGATTGCTGAATCTTCAAGAGACTGTCACCTGCGCAAGAACTTGGTTTTTAGAGAAAACTCAACTGAATACGGCTGAATTACCCGTTTACAACGGCCCTCTTTAACTGATTGTGCTGCACCAGACTGATGTTCAAGATATCGCAATACATTGTCCACATTATTCATAAAGTTGCTGAAAGTTCTTCGGCAGTCAACGACCGGTTTCATCCATTTAAGGGCTCATCCGATGGGCACAGTCGTCAAGCTTCTCTCAACTTCATGTTTAGCTTGAAGCCGAATACCGTAAACGAGAGATTCAATTGTATTCAGTTGGATCTTCTTTTCAAACCAAAGTAGTTTACGAATGAGAGTGCACCGAAATCTCCCCGTTCTATAGTCGAGTAGACCACAACTTTGAAGAAAACTAGAATACTGCACATGCCACATGAGCCTCAAGAGGAGCGAAACCGGTCATGGGCTGTCGGGAAATTTTCAGAAACCTTGTGAGTAGTGTGTTACGTTTAGTGCTGTTTCAATTCTGCCCTCCTCTGCCTAGAGAGATATTAACATCGAGACTTTAAAAAGGCACACAGACTCTTAGGTTCTGGGACACCAATAAACGCTCCTCCAAAGTTTGACAGTGGTGAAAATGGGCCGGGTTTGTGTTTAAGACATTGACATTGGCAGTCCACAAGTTATTGATGAAATTCGTCTAACATCAAATTTATCAGGAAGGTCAGCTTCCTGAGAGCAGCTACCGAATGCCCGAAATCTACCGAGACTCTCAGCTCCATTAGATGTTGACCAGACGGACAACATCCCCTCAATATGCAACGCGTCACAGCCTTGTATCATACCCAGACAGTGCGAGTCAGCGTTGATCAAGGTCAGACAACGCCCCCGCAATATGCAGCACGTCGCAGCCAGACCATGTGCGCCAGCATTGGACTAAGTTCAAACGGTGTCCCTCCAATAAATAGCTTGAGACCGTCGTACATTCGCACTCGCACTCGCTTGTTTGGAATATAGCTGTTGTGTTCCCTTCGTTTAACATTACCAGATGCCATACAAGAATTTGAAGTCAAAAATAACACTCCAGTGACTGTAATGATGAAGCCGACTCTTCTGGCAAATTTCGTCCCATGAACTCAGTCAAAACATCACTCACTTTTTATTTTTGGGCTGGAAAGAGAATGGGGACTTCTCCACCATTCAGCTTAGAGTGGCTGGACTTTCGATGATTATCCCTATGTGGAATACTCTGAATGTACCAACTGGATAAATACATCAGTAATCAGCCGAGGAACACGTTAACAGAGGAGCAAAACATACATTCCTGTATTCTGACCTTACTACTTCTTCACTGATGCCATTTGTCAGAGGAAAATGAGTCGAACCAAGTCGAAAAACCAAAAATTCTTTTGAATTTGCCCTATCCTTTCTAGGAACCCATAGTTTTGTCAGGAGGGATTTTAACCAAGGTCACGGTGCTACGAACAATGTGAAATGCCTTGCCAACAGTTGCTTCCGACCCCAGAACTATGTCCTTGCTTCTAGTGGAAAATGGCGAAGTGAAGTCGGCGGAAAAAGGAACAATGCACGAAAAGTTCCTACTGTCGAGAGGGTCTCTTCACTTACTATGCTATTGTAACAGTATAAGTTAAAGTGGTTGACAATAATAAACAAATCCATCAATGAATTAAACTGATGCCCAACGTGACATCCTGATTATGGAACTATCCTGTACCTGATGGTTTTATCTGTTTGTACATGCTTTGCTAGGACTTTTGCCTGATAAACGTTACGAAGGGAACCAAAAGCGAAACTATCAGCCTACATTTCAGTCTCTGATTAAACTACTGTCAAAAGAGTATAGCTCTCGAAAGGGACCCCATTAAGTTGAATTCCAAGGTACATTTCAATGGTGAACTCCCATCTAGGGAAGACCATACTCTGGAGGTCTTTCCAGAGGGGACAAATCTGATTCGGATCACCTGTTCTGTCTGACCCTTATAGAATCAGCTTCCCACACAACAACATACCGAATTTCTCAGGGGTGGAAGTACACACGAATGTGTGTGTACACTTTTTGGCTTTGCTAACAAAGTTGAATGAGCTAGTTGCGATGATCGGGTATTTGCTTGTTCTCGTAGCATATCCTTGATTGTTGCCGGTTCGGTTTTACCGTTGGGTTTATCACAAACGGCATAGCGTACAATCGAAGGAAGACAGTTGGGAACACAACTTGTAGGGGCGGACAAGCAGTCAGCGCTTGTTCTAGGGTTGAGCTTCTCCGAATGCGTAGATTCAACTACATCTTTCTTCGCAATTTGCTGCACAGGTCCGGAAGGTCGACGAGTTGCTGGACGCACAGTTTTCGTTGGAGCTGGTTGACTCACTGCACCCGCAACCTTCCATTTCACCTCTTCAACCACCTTGGGTGGTTCGGGCCGTTTCACCCGCAGTTCTCGATTGAGCAACGGTGGAACCAGTGGATGAGTACTCGGAGGTGTGTTGCAAGCGGACATTTGACAAGGGGGTGAAGTTGTAACAAGATGTGGCGCCGACATTACTTCCGGACTGGCTAGAACAGTGGGCTCCATTGAGGGAGTTATCAAAGTGGGTGGAACTGTGATCTGGATAGCTTCAGGACTAATGAGCGGATCCCGTCCAAGTGGTGGGCTGGTGTCCCGCATTCTGGTTGCATGGGCCAGCTGTTGAAACAGTTGAGCATCTCGACAATTGCTTTCACCGGAAGCTGGTGTCCATTCCAAGGGCTGATCAATGTGTTTTGCGGAGAGTATGCGGGAGCGAGTCTCCAGTGGACCAACCGATGGATTGGTTATTTGAAGGTGTAGCTCCGTAATCTGGATGGAATGAATGACGTTCGGATGTGTTAATGATGGGGTAAAATAACGAGACAAGATCCAAAGTGTGTGAGGAACGGAACATTGGAGAGAACTGTGTGAAGACTGGCAGCCAACGAACAAAACAAGGGTGGCTTACGGCTTCGAGACATTCTTGAGCCAAGGAGTCTTGCTACGGATGAGATTTAGTAAAAACATTTCAGTAGGATATGTGAGCAGATAAGCTGTTTAACATGAGAACCTCTTCAAAAGTGGTAAAACAAATCCCAAAATAGAAAACTGTACCTGGTCTTGGAACAACTATGTCGCTTACAAACGGAGCCAAAAAGGCATTCACGTAAATGGAATATACGCAATGGTTTCATCTCAATCCTTTTTCCGATTTCAGTTTTTTTTTAAATCGGTTATCAATGACTTAGGTTAAATGGGTAGGATAATAGTTCATCTCAACCCTTTTCCGATTTCAGTTTTTTTTTAAATCGGTTATCAATGACTTAGGTTAAATGGGTAGGATAATAGCTGTCATGTCGTTGTACAGGGAATTTCAAGATCGCAATATAAAGCCGGTCAGGAATACTGCCGGAAGCGAATCATAACCTAGTCATCTTTTGTGTGTACGATTGATTTCGTTTTTGCTGTCCTTAGCTATATCCGCAGTCATGACCAAAAGTGCAGTCAACTTCAGTAGTGTATCAGTACGCAGAATTCCAGAATTAAAGTGAAAAAAGTCGAAAAAATGAAAAAAATTGAAGAATTCGAGGACTATAGATTTGATTGGATTTGCATGATCTAAGCGTGTGTACGGTCAGGGTAGGCAGGCATTCTAACTAGTGACACAAAATGCTTTAAATCATGTTATCTCAATGGTCCATGGCTCGTCCATTGTCCTCTAATACCTGTGGGGTCGAAGAGCTGAGGCGCCCGCTCACAGGTGTCAAGTACGTACATGACATAGCTCTCCTTGGATTTGACTTCATGGTAATGCAAACAACATAAAATAATCTTGATACTTCTGCATCATTGGTTGATATGTGCTTCATATCCTGTAGAGTGCTACGCAAGACTGGGTAGGGTTGAACCCTAGCCTCATGCTTGCGGATGAGCCACTTGAGATAGCAGACAAGTTTGTCTACCTGGGCAGCTGTATCAGTCCCAGCGGTCTAGCGAAAGATGACATTTCCATCAGGATTGGAAAGGCCAGAGCACCTTTTGTAAACCTGCGTCATCCGTGGCATAGGCGTGACATCAGCTTATCCGTCAAGGGTCGAGTTCACAATGCTGCTGCGCGCTCCATATTACTACACGGATCAGAAACCTGGCCACTGCGCGCCGAGGACGTCAAAAGACTTTCAGTGATTGACCATCGATGTCTTCGAAGCATTGCCCAAATCTGGTGGGAACACAGGATCAGCAATCCTGAAGTACTCAGAATGGTATTCGGGAGAAGTAATTCAATCTCGATAGATGAACTGATCATGTAGCATAGCTTGCGCTGGCTTGGCCACGTGCTGTGTATGCCGGTCGACCGACTTCCTGGAATGGTTCTTTTCGCACGGTTAAACGAAGGGTGAAAACGAGACAGGGGAGGTCAAGCAGTGACTTGGCAGCGAAGTGTGAAAGCCAGTACCAGCAAATTCACCTGCGCTGGTCATTGCCATCTCCCTGGAAGGGGACCTCGAGACGGACCATATCAATGTTTGGAGGCATTGTCGAACATGGCCCAATCCGATGGAACTCGGGGATCCAAGCTACTGACTTCAATGCATAGAACCCTTCCCAATTCCCCCACTTAACGGTTCACCGACAGTGCTTTATTTACGCACCGATTTATCAGCTCCCGCCTCCAATCCACGTCAATTAACGAAATTGTGGCAGCTACAACCACTTTATGACAAGCACGCGGTTTTTACAGCTGATAATGAGAAGGATGATGATGAAACAAACTCGGAAGAATGCTATTCGCTGATTTTGGAGGTGGATACTTTCACACCTACCTGTTTAGCTTGTTCCAGCACATTTGCCACAACGCGCCCCAGTTCGTAGCGCACAGCAGCGCGCAGATCATTCCAGCGATTCAAATCGTTCTGATCGTTCCCCACACTCACTCCAGAATAGGCAGACGTACTCCGGGATCGAACTTTCGGTACGGAATCGCCCAAGAGAGTTTGTTCATTATCTTCAGAGTGCTGTCTGAAACTTGAACCATTCCTTACTTCACTGGATTCGTCGGATTCGAAGCGGTCCGACGTGGTTGCCACGGAATCGATGATTGACCGATCGTCTTCACTGGGCACGTCGTCGGCGTGTTTCGTAACTGTGTCACTCGGTAGTTCGTTGATGAATTCCTCAGCCAACGCCTGATGAATTTCAGACCATGCATGTAGTTCCACCGGTCGGCATCCGCGGGAGGTACTCTGGGGAGTGACTACCTCGGTGTAGTGGTTGGGTGACACGGGTGCTAAGCTCGAGGATAACTGCTGTGGGGAAAAGTCAGTGGAACTTGAGAAACTCTTTTTTCTCCGAATCATATAGAAAATAAAACTAGTTTCTCGAAAATTTCCAAATCTAGCTGAAAAAAAAACGTTTATGAGACTTGAAATGATGGTGGGAAATTTTATTGAATAGCTACCTGAACAAAAGCTATTCAGAGGAGAGAGGATAATTTAGCACTACTGTGCTACAGTTTGATATGCGAGATAGTCACCAAATCCATTACTTATGATCACTTTTCACCAAGTTTCCGTTCTTCCGTACCTTATAGTAACCAACAGTCAGTCAGGGCAACACCTACACAACTGAGAAGTTGTTCTAGGTACTGCTGCGAAATTCCGGTTTTCTGAGTGAAGAAACTGACTAAAAACAACGTCATTCTATCTATTTCCAAGGACTACTCGAAATAGTATGGAGGCGCATTTCAAAAATGGCTTGCAACCGTGTACATCCAGATTGCCTGAATGACTGCCTGTCTTCGGAGCATTGCCCGAATCTGGTGGGAACACCGGATCAGCAATTCTGAAGTACGTCGAATGGTATTCGGGAGAAATAACTCACCCTCGATAGATGAACTTATCACACTGCACAGGTTGCGCTGGCTTGGCGACGTGCTGCGTATGCCAGTCGACCTCGAAGGGCTCTTTTCGCACAACCACGTGAAGGTTGGAAGAGAACCAGAGGCGGTCAAACAATGACTTGGCAGCGAAGTATGAAAGCCATTACCAGCAAACTCGAATGCGTTGGTCATTGCCGTCTTCCTGGATGGGGACTCCGAGACAGTCCACTGACAGTGCCGCATTTATGCACAATTTATCAGCTCCCGCTTGCAATGCACAGTTACCTACCCATCCCCCCAAAATCATCTGTGAACGAAACTGCGGCAGCTACAACCACTGTACGACGAGCACGCGGTTACTACAGCTGACAATGATGATGATGATGATGACGATGATGATGACTGTCTGCCTGGTGAGCCAGCATTAAGTCTCTTCCACGTCCATTTTTATTCATTCCTTCTCAATAAGGCTGTCAAATAAATCAGGGTTGTACGACAACGAAGCATCAGTGTTGAACAGTGATCTCATGGACACTTGAAATGAAAACAGGAAACTCACCCCAACGTTGTTACAGTTTGTGTGGGCATAAACTTCAAAGCCATTTTGACCGTCTTGGCTCCCTGGCAGCAACCTGTCGGCCCATTTTTCTGATGAATTTGATAGCTCCTTCGAATGGATGGACTGACCATCTCCAGTGGGATCAAAGCGCACGTCACTTTTCTTCGAAGGCGTTTGAAGTGATGACACGGTTGGGTCCATAGCGGAGGGAATATACGCCTTTTTCCTTCGCTTTGTGGGATCAGGCAGCATATGACAGGGTGATGCGGACATCTTTGTGAGCTGTACGTCACCTTTCTTCAAGCTACTTAGATGCTTTTGCACAACACGATCGATATGCCTGGAAGCTTGCTGAACCAGCTGACAGACAGAATGTAGGAACTCTTGGCGAAGCTAAAGAAAATGTCGAAGAATTGTGAAGATCACCGAAGAGTCGATAGATCTGCTGGGAGCAGATATGTCAGGCAGGATTCTACATGGGCCGCCACGAGTACATCAAAGTTTAGACCAGCATAATTGATATCCAGGTAAATCCGGAAGGGTGATTGAGTTTTGATCGCACTTCAGAAGAACTTCATACAGCATTTCGTATAAGGATAATTCAATCCAGCCAGCCAAACCATGTTACATCAGGCCCCCACGTCACAGTAGGGATCATCTCTAGACGCAATAAGGCAAAAAAATGCTTCCTTCCTTTCAAGAAAGGTCAAAACTCGATCTCCTGTCCTAAGAGGACGTAACAAAAACTACGTAAGCGCAGAAAAATCTGACCATTCATCATCATCGTCCTCGCCTAACAGCTAGGATGGTGTTGAAACTAATGACTCAGACAATGTTAAAAAAAACTCAGAGAAGGAAACGAAGGAAAGTGTAAACTGAAGATGGAAAGCTTCGTTCATTCTATGAAAGGCCATACAAATTTGTGTACCAGTCACCGAATAACTGCAGTAGTGAAGTCAACTAGACAAGAACATTCAGACTGAACGATCTGATCGTACACCGATAGCCACATTGTACGAATCTAAAGCGAAAGCAAGAAATCAATGTTTGACTGCTTCCATACCTTTTGATCGGCTTTTTGGTTGACTTGCAACGTTTGCAAACGTTCGCGCTGGATTTGTAATTCCACCTGTTGCTCTTTCCACTTACGACGCCAGCGCTCGGCTTCACGACAAGCCTGGAAGCAGCGTGATTCCAGTGCTTGCATTGACGACGTACGTGACTTTGCTACTACGTGACAACAACCTTCCCCCGAGCGCGGTGAGCGAGGTGCGGGCTGACAACTTGAACTCTGACTTTTCTTTGCTTCTGTTAATGATGACTGGGACTTCAGCTGGACCAAACGTTTGCGAAGGCGCTAAAGTCATAAAATTCAATACCGTATTCAGTTAGATCGATGTCAGTATTGGACATCTTATACCTGGGAGCACTTATCACTTGGGAGGTACGAATATTGTGAAAAAATGATAGATGCCCGTGAATGGAAGCAAAAACTAACCGCCCGCCTACACAACAGCAGTTCTACGAGCCTGGTCATCAAGAGTGCTACCCTGGTCATTTGGCACTTGAACAGTAGACGCGATTCAGTGTGCTGCTGCCTATTAATTGAAAATCAAATGGCACTTGATCTGTTTGCCTTACATGGCAACTGGCTTGCAAAGGTTTCGTGGTCATACGACGAAACGATGTGTGCCACCCAATGGATTACTTTCCACGTCATTCACCGAGTGCAGAAATGCATCTGGAAAGTGAATAACTGAGAGAAATAACATCAGTCACGTGATGTTAATGAAGTTCCATAGCCAGTTAAGTCCAGATTACTTGGTTGACCGGATATTAGCACATACGGTGAACAACTCGACTGGATTTGACACTTGTTGAACTACTTTTAGTCTGAAGGTGGGCTTGTGAGGCTTTTGAAAGTGATTCCACCTGCTCGTAAGTTCAACTGAGCACTGACTACTGACGGATGATCAAGAATTTCTGCCGGATCGGTCACCTACCTACACGGAAGACCTGAGAAATACCTAGAGGGGGGTTTGAAAGTTTATCGGATGTCTAAGTGTCTAGGTGTGGTTGTAGCTGCGCGAACGCTGTCGCACTAGCTGAGATTCATTAGGTAGTGTCGGTGGTTCAGCTGTTACACCCTTTCGCTGCCTGGCTGCCATGCAACACGAAGGAAGCACGAGGGCTGAGATACTCCCAGTTTGCCCAAGCCTAGACGGGAGAAGTCGAGAGGCAGAAGTTGGGCTCCAAGACGGACCTTTCAGTCAGTGAATTCACGCTCTAACCACTTTAGCCATCTCGCCCCTCCCCCCCCCAGAAGGTGTCATGAACCCATGTTTTAGCAAGTCTCAACGACGATCGAGGACTAACAGGACAAAACTTTCTAACTACTTATGAGTGGTCAGTGGCTTGTATGAATTAGCTGACGTGGTCTTAGTGCACCCTAGTCCGTAATGAAAACAAAGTTAAGATAGTTTTCAAGTTCAAGCGTGCAAGTTTAATGGGATGACGGTAGTCGGTGAAAATCCATGCTGAATCCACGCCAAACATACCGCCACCATTCTGATTTGCTAAATGACCGTTTCTATTAAACCCGAGTATGAACTACTGATCCATTTGGGGATGTCGAACGTGTTCTCTCCTGCAACAAACATCTCAGTTTACAAAATTTGAAAAGCTGTTGTCAGTAATAGTGGTACAGTTACTAGTAATGATTACCCAGCCATTCAGAATGTCCAGAAAATCACACTTGCTACACGTGCTTCCTCTGAACACAGACTAAGAAGTATTCATTGGAAGCAGTTCAAGTTGAGTGGAATTGCTGACGAGAATTTGGCACCATATAACAGACATTCGCACGCTGAATTTAGCATATCTGCGGTGCCTGGTAAATGTCGAACGTCTGGGTGTCACACTGAGTTATGCTCAGAACAACAGCAGGGGCAATTCAACCGGTCTACTTGGTTCTATTCACTGCCCAGAACATCTGTTATCGGCTAGAAAAATGGCTCAGCTTGATGTGGCCATCTGAATTATGCAGTTCTTCTCACCTATTCGGATCCCAGTACACGCATAGCGTCATCTAACAGACCCCTTCTAGTGAAAAGAAGAAGGCCTTCTCTGCGGAGTTGTTTATTAGAAAGTGTCAACTGAACAGTGACAGACTATTGGACAGGGGAGCAATACTGTCATATGCATCTTGGTTACAAAACTGGGTATCCATCTTCTCTGTGAACGCGTCTTCCTGAACTTTCCTGGATATTCACTGACTGTTACTTAAATGCAAGCAAATTCTACAAAGCGACTCCGCAAATTCCGTAAGAGATCTCACTTTTCGAGAGACGCGAAGCGGATTTACGAGAAGACATACTACTCACATACCCTTCATCAGCAGTATCACCGTTACACCAGGTCATACATCTGTGTCTAACAGGCGGACCAGCCTGCGTCCCAAACAACATCAAAGAGGTGGCTGTCACGCACGATGAGGACTCACGAATTAGTCGGGTGGAAAATCTGGACAGTTCGATACCTTCATTTTTAACCGAATGGATCAGAACCCAAAGTGACTGAGTTTCGCCGGGAGCATGGTGATTGCCGACCGTTTCGCCGCCACAGACAGGACCGAAACATGAGGAAACTTGGAATTCTTAACTGTAAACCAATTGTATGATGAATCTATCTGGAATTATTGCACAGTTATTGCGCGCAGTTATTGGTGTTATTTTTTCTGTTTGGATACTCAAAAGATCGAGGAAAAACCAATGGTTCCAATTACATTTGCGCTTTACACCTCATTTGTGAGAAACAAAAACTTCGTTCCACGTCGAAGATATACTTTGGGTCCACTAGCGACGTCTTAAAAGCTCAGTGCTGGCAAAGTTCATCGAAGTGAATTGGCCTAGTTGCTGTTAGTTATGCATATCACTACTTGTAAGTAGTGATGCGATGGTTCCCAAGTTTTCATGAACCTCATGGAGGGACGGGCTTTTGCAAGTCATATTTAGAACACATGTTAGAAGTAAACTTAAAACTGATCATATTTATTCTGTATACACTAATATTTTTACTTACCTGGTTCTCACATTTCATTGCCTCCAGATCTTCCCTCAAGTGAAGTGAACTGGCGATGGGTTGTGGAGATTTCGATTCCAAAGCATCCGAAATCTGTGGACGGTGGGCGTAGCGACAACAGCGTTATGAAACAGCGGGGCCAATAACAATAGATTGACTTCAGCTTCAGAGTGAAATTTGTATTTTAAAAAATCCATAAATTATTCTTTCCGTCCGTTGACAAACATCATTTTGACCGCTAGAGTTGTTCTCTTAGCGAAATAACATTTGCCGAGGCAAGTGTTGACTAATTTGCTGAGTGTTGACTCTACTTCACCACATTTGACTAAACTGTAGGTCTGCTTGGCTACTTAAGATTTTAGGTGGATCGAACTGACTTTGATGCCAATGCACAGATGGCTTTCTAATTTAAAATTATGTATTAATAATAACAATAATCAAATTTATGATACTAAGGGGTCCATCTGTATTAACCGATGTCATGGATTCAAGAACATCCTGCCATATTCTACTGCTCAATGGGCATTTTCGATCGTTCTAGTCTTTTAGGCGGAATACTGGGGGTGGACGGACGGAATGATCGAAGCAAGCCGGTGTTTTAGCGTGCCCCTTACGCCAACACAGTTTAAGTTTACGCTTCTGGACATGCAGCCACCAATCACGGCGCTTGCGATCCAAGGAGAATCATGGATGTTTGAAGTATCTATTGCATCTCCAAAGTTGTGTAAAATCCGATGGCCTTGTGACAGATGAGCGTATTACAAAAATCCTTAAAGATTCAGTTAAAGACTATTCCAGCACCATACATATTGAGCACCATGCATTTTGACCCATTTCCTGACGGAACAATTGCTGTTTCCGTGGCTAAACCAGAGTGATACAAGCTGACAAGAAGAAAAATTTTGGGCCGGCAGAAGCAGAATGTGATCACGCTGTCTTGGCGCTGTCGTGTGAACTGTTTTTCAAATAAGGTCGATGTGAGCAGTCCTCACTTTGGATAAAGAGACTACGGGAAAGCAGTGGTGTTTTCATAAAGGAAACTACTCACAAGATTGCCGAAAACTTTTCAACAGCGCACGACCGGTTACGTCCTTCCTGGGGCTCATCAAGTAGGCGCAGTCCCCGAGTTCCCGTCAACCTTATGTTCTACTTGAACCCAAACTGGACTGTTTCCGAGAATCACACTCATTTGCAAATCAATTAGTCTTTCACGAGAGACTCAACTGAATCTCTCGTTTATAATATTCTATAACTGAATGTGCTGCACACAGGCCACCTCATGATTCACTTGGTACGATATTCGAAATATCACTATCGAGATATCATAAAGAAAACTACTCACAAGGTTGCTGAAAACACTTTGACAGCCCACGACCGTTTTCGCCCTTGTTAGGGCTTATCAAGTAGGCACAGTCTCAGAGTTTCCGTCAACTCCATGTTCCACTTAAGACTAAAACATCACAAACGGAAGATTCAGCTGGATTTCAAATGAGTCTCTCGAAAAACCGAATTTGTATGAAAGTGGGTGTATTTCGCTAGGTCAATTTTATTTCTACAGCAAGGTCTGTAAACAGATTATGGTTTCATCGCTGTGAAGAATCCGTGTTCATCACTGACACTACACTGTCAATGCTGAAAATGAGGATGTCTACGCAAGAGAAACCACTCCAAACGCAGGTACGAATTGCCAAGTTAGTTATGCTTTTGACAGAAACTAGACGGGATATTGTTTCAGAAGAGCTTGATAAACAATCGGTAGTTTTTATTTGGGCAACGTTTCGCTTTTGACACAAAAGGTTTTCATAAGGAAACTACTCACAAGATTGCCGAAAACTTTTCAACAGCGCACGACCGGTTACGTCCTTCCTGGGGCTCATCAAGTAGGCGCAGTCCCCGAGTTCCCGTCAACCTTATGTTCTACTTGAACCCAAACTGGACTGTTTCCGAGAATCACACTCATTTGCAAATCAATTAGTCTTTCACGAGAGACTCAACTGAATCTCTCGTTTATAATATTCTATAACTGAATGTGCTGCACACAGGCCACCTCATGATTCACTTGGTACGATATTCGAAATATCACTATCGAGATATCATAAAGAAAACTACTCACAAGGTTGCTGAAAACACTTTGACAGCCCACGACCGTTTTCGCCCTTGTTAGGGCTTATCAAGTAGGCACAGTCTCAGAGTTTCCGTCAACTCCATGTTCCACTTAAGACTAAAACATCACAAACGGAAGATTCAGCTGGATTTCAAATGAGTCTCTCGAAAAACCGAATTTGTATGAAAGTGGGTGTATTTCGCTAGGTCAATTTTATTTCTACAGCAAGGTCTGTAAACAGATTATGGTTTCATCGCTGTGAAGAATCCGTGTTCATCACTGACACTACACTGTCAATGCTGAAAATGAGGATGTCTACGCAAGAGAAACCACTCCAAACGCAGGTACGAATTGCCAAGTTAGTTATGCTTTTGACAGAAACTAGACGGGATATTGTTTCAGAAGAGCTTGATAAACAATCGGTAGTTTTTATTTGGGCAACGTTTCGCTTTTGACACAAAAGCTTCATCAGGCCAAGTGAGCAGGTCACCAAATTGGCCAGGTTATAAGGCAGACGGGGAACCTATCAGTAAGTCAATCCTCTTCGGATTTTCACACTAGATCCGTATTGAGTGTCAATTAATGGTTCTTAGTGAAGTTGTCAAAATCTTGCTTTGGTGGATTGGGGGGGGGGGCGCTTAAATTAATTCTGATCGGGTTTGGTTCATTAATCTTCCACTTCAGGGTTCTTCAGTTGATGATTCAACTCGGTTGCCACTAATTGATTTTTTCTGGTCTTTGTGGGGCCATGAGTGCTCCGACAGTTTGGTTTAAGGGGGTTGAGGTCAAGTGGAATTCAGGTGATGACTACTCTTCCTTCTGATGACCGCACACCAACACGTGTCAGCTCGGCTGATCCAGAACCGTCCTCCACACGCTTGCCAGTTCCACACCTTCTATTCTATTAACACTGGGGTGCTTGACGATTTCTACTGCCCCGGTGATCAGTCCTCGCCTCAAAACCTCAACATTTTCCAAATCTATTTTGTGTCCCGTGTCGAGTGCGTGTTCCGCAATCGCCGAGTCTTTCAGTAACGCTTGATATTCATCTGCGTTTCCCGGCGGCCTGTTTATTTTTCTCCTATGCTCTCCGACTCTGATGTGTAGTTCCCTGGCCGTCTGTCCTATGTAAACCTTGGTGCAGTCATTACACTTAATTTTGTAGACACAGTCCCTGGTTTTGTTTGCCGGAAGGCGATCCTTCAGTTGCACCAGTGCAGAGCGCAGAGTGTTCCCCCTCTGGAAAGCTACTCTTATGTTAACCGTGTTTAGAATTCTTCGAATTACTTCCGATGTCCCTGGTTTGTATGGAATAACAGCTGTCCCGATCCATTGCCTGTTGGGTTTCGCTACCGGTACCAATACCCTTCGCAATTGACGCCTAATCAAGCTGGCTGGATATCCACTACGCCGAAGTTTGTTCTTTACCTCAATTTGGATAAGAGCCATTAATTGACGCTCAATACGGATCTAGTGTGAAAATCCGAAGAGGATTGACTTATAACCTGGCCAATTTGGTGACCTGCTCACTTGGCCTGATGAAGCTTTTGTGTCAAAAGCGAAACGTTGCCCAAATAAAAACTACCGATTGTTTATCAAGCTCTTCTGAAACGATGACTTCTCAATCGGTTCCAAACGTTTTTAAATTGATAGACGGGAAGAACCACCAGATGATATCGAACCAATATGGGACTAGCTGTCCAAGCTACTCAAAACTGTTTTGCCACTGGTTTCAACCAGTACTGTACTGCCCAGTTTGAAGATGGAAACCACAATGAATCTCGTTCGGCTTTGTGTATGGCGGCTGTCATTATCATTCCGAGCAGCTGGGTGAAGAGATATTTCATCGGTTGGCTTCTACAAGTAGTACCTTTCGGAATGCGTTCGATTGCCGAGATACCACTTGACTGGGTATACAGGTTGAACGCAATTGTCATGACAGCTCTAAGAAAGCGCACCCTTCAAACTGTTGAAAACGCCGGAGTTTAAAAGAAGATGCTTAACCCTCAGCGCACCCATCGACTGAGTTTATGGGCTAATTGCGATTTCGAGACTGTGAGTCAGTTGGTCAGAGTAGCATTCAGTTAACGGTGCTTGCAGTGGATCTATTCTTGGGAGGATGTGCTCAATTGAAGAGGATTCAGCTCCTCTCACACTAGCTATTTGGATGCGTTAGATATGCACTCTGTTTTAGCTGATAAAATTGATATTCATAACCTGGACCCCGTAGCAAGGTTGTGGTATACTCAGTTGGGCACTAATGTTGACAACAACTGATTCGCCGACGAGAATTCAGCTGGGACTTCAATGAACTCCTAATATGCAACATTCTTTGTTGTGCAGCCTCGGTGTCCATTACCTGCCAATGGCTATATGCCTTCGGATGACAGAATGAAAAAAATTCCCGCCACTTCAAGTTTATCTGATTATTTGATTGATAATTGCTTATCCCTACATAAAACTGCACTTTCTGGCCTCTAAATGCCACAGTGCAGTTACCACGACCAATCTCGACTTATTGATCTGTTTCCGCGCGATCCAACGGGCGTTAGATAACAAATTTTATCCGATATCTACTAGGTTGTCTTCGAAACACAGCATGAAGTCCAGTGTCCAGAGTCCACTTCTAAAGCTAATTAAATCTCCATTTTTATCAGTTTTAGTGGTATTCCTACAAAAGAGACCGTTTTGGTGGACTTTCTATTCTCTGGATGGGCGGACGTTCAATAAATGATATGTTACTTAGTTTATGTTTATTTTCCAAGCAGATCGACAAATTACCCCCCCCCCCAGCACGTTTGCTATGTGCGTTCAAGACTTCTGCGTCGAGTCCTTTCGCAGAATGACCATACACCCGGCACGCCGACAAAAGAAACAGGGTTTCACCCTCACAGAATGACAGAGGGCTCCACTATTTTTCCTCAGTAGCAGAAAATATACCTCTTTTAATGCGATTTGCACAATTTTGAATGAAAAACTACAAAATAGCAAACGAATTTCGTTTTTCTGTAACCGTCTTACCAGAGTGCATCAAATGAGTCGAAGAAATTATAATAGATGAGAGAAGTAAGGTAATAAGCCATCACGTTTTGACTAAACATGGTAAGCGCGGAATTCACCACGCAGCGAAAGAGAAGGTGGCCCAGAAACCGAGCAATTGAAATAGGTTTCTGTTAGGTTTCACGACAGAAACCACGAAACCTGAAAGTATATGCAAACTGTTGAACTTTTGCATAGATATATACTTTACCTTCGATGGACAAATGTATCAACAGCTGAAACTAACTCCAACGGGATCCTCAATATCAGTATTTATTGCTGAGGCGGTAATGCAAAGGTAAGAGCGTGCAATGCTGTCGATCATCAATCCAAAGCAGCGGATCCGCTAAGTGGACGACACCTTTGTCATCATGAGACGGGATTCAGTACACGACGCACATGAACTGCTCAACACAACGTTTGAAGATATCAAGTTTACAATCGAACTGGAAAGAAACAATCGGCTACCATTCTTGGACGTCTTAGTGAACAGAAAGGTGGACGGGACTCTGGAAACCTGCGTACACCGCAAAGAGACTCATACGGACCAAATACTGAACTACAACAGCAATCATCCAGTAAACCACAAAAAGAGCTGCGTCCAAACCTTGTTCAAGAGGGCGGAAACACACTGCAACACCACAGAACACTCTTCAGAGTGTTCCAGAAGAATGGATATCCAAGGAGTTTTATCAAGAGAAGCTTGAAGAAGAAGACATCTCAACAACAGCCACAGCAAGAACAAGTCACCAGACGAGTAATCCTGCAACCAGATTATGGGCTCGAAAAGGAATCTTCGTGGCGCACAAGCCGAATGCCACCATAAGGAAATTAATCACTTGACCGAAAGACAACCGAGATAGAACCAAGGGGGACAATGTGATATACCAAATCAACTGCAACAACTGCAACAAACCCTGCACCGGAAAAACTGGGAGGAAATTATGCATACGGATAAGGGAACACAAGGCGGCCGCCAGACATAAGCCCCTGTCCTTGGTATCCATACACGAGGACCAAGAAGGCCACAAATTCAATCTGGAAAACGCAAAAATTTTGGCATACGGATACACGCGACACGGAAGAGAATTTCTGGAAGCATGGTACTCTACGACAGGTTCAATAAACCGGTGCATTGAACTGGATCCAATTTACGCACCTCTACGCGCGAGAGATCAACACATCTCAACCAGAACACTCAAGGAGGACCAAATATTGGATTCACAGACAAAGAAACAAGAAAAACTTTGGAGTCAAACTAACTAAGGTCACAAGCCGGGACTCGGAAGGACAAAGGTCACTCCAGCATCGACCAGATTACGATGGCGGGGATGCCAAGCTCAAAGGTCACGTTCGCATAGGCGAACGGGGACACAAGAGAACGGTGCAATCAATGGAACGCCCGACCGCTCGCGGTCAAAGTTTTCCCGGCTAGAAGCACGTAAATTGACACACACGTAACACTACTCAACGCACAACCACTAACCCATGGCTACGCACCGCTACACTCCCCAATAACGCACTGATGATGTCACCGTGATTGGTGATGAAAGGTTTGCAATCGAATTGTTCAGCTCATCAAACAAACCAACGACCATAGTCGTTGTCTATAGCAATTAATTTTCTTTCATTCCAAACATTATCGTCGTTACGGAAGTTTGTAAACGAAAAAATCGTCTTCCAGGAGAATTCGGCAGTCTATCGAGGGATCACAAGTAGGGATCCTAATCATAGCCAATGGTTCATCTCAAAAAGGGTAATTCAAAGAAATAAAGTAAATGGCTGGCTTGAGTTGAAGGCGTCTTGCCTCGACAGGAAAGCCATGCACGGAATGCTTTGAGATTTTGGACAAAATGTGAACTTTCGAGTTGAGTAACGGCAAGTTGATCAGTGGTGTAAGTTCGATCAGCAACCCAGAGTGTTGAGTTCAAGGACACGAGCTGTCACATCACGGTTTAGGCAACCAATCCTTGCAGACGGATCCACTTGGTTCACTTAGGTTGGTTGATATTATGGGTTGACCAATGGTAACCAACCATAGTCCTTCTATCGATGAATATGAGTATCATTTATAAATTTCCACAGTACTCAACAAAAACTTGCTCCTTCTGGAGAAATAGGTTTAATTAAAATTTCAAACTGAGTTTACAAGTGAATGATAAAGCATGGTAAAGAAGTAATCTCGAAGCAATGGAGGAAACTAAGATTCACAATACTTATACCACTTCATCTCTCAACTGGACGAAAATAACTCGGCAAAGCAAACTAAATCGTTCAGCTACTGCACGCTTTTGATGCATTGCGGCTATGCAGACGGTACCAGCTGCTTCCCGAGTAAACTCGCCAACTATAAAGGCGAGGAATTGGTTCTCCAATGCCTGGCAACATCTCTACTGCTGCCCTATTTTCCGGAGATATAGCGGCTAAAACAACCTCATGTTTGGTAAACCAGAGTAGACTCACAGAAACCCAGTAATAGATACAGAGTTTGAGATTCCCGATCCCAGACTCACTTCTTTACTGTTGTGCATAATCGATAAAAATCTATAACTAACTAACCAGAAACTTTTCCCTTAATGGAGTTTTACACAGGATACCATATTCAAATCGGGAATCTCATACCTTAGAAATCAATGTTTCAAGTTTATTACGTCCATCTGCAATATTCTCCAGTTTGTTGGGTTTCTTCTCAACTCGTCGAATATTTTGTCGAAGTATTGGGCCAGATTTTCTCTTGAGGTTTGTTTCTTCAAGGGACGTCGATGGTGCTCGAATGGTCGTGCTAGACTTAGGTCGTTCACGCACTCTGTTTGTCACAGTCATCTTCTCTGGCTTCACTTCAAACGCTTGAATAGTCTGTTCCAACTTTGAAGCAATGCGCTCTAATTCAGCTCCAAGCCACTTTTGTTCCTCTCTCCAGCGTTCAGCGAGAAGTTTAATCTGTAGATTCAAAAAACTCGGTGCTCAGTTATAAGAAGTAAATAAAACAATTCAAATAAAAAGCTATCCGCAAGTGGTTCTTGTCCTACTCATTCACACGGCATCGGTTGTGGGGATTCCCAGATAAGTACGCCACTTCTGATCGAGCAGAAATCTAGCCCACTGCGATGGAGTTCAATTCGGATCAAAAACGCTGGAGCACAGTGTGACGATTCTGACTAAATGACCGGTGTAAGGTACCTTCCATCAACCAATAGGTCATTTCTGTCTTACAATATTTGGTCATATGCTTCAACCGGGCTTTATACCCAATGGGAACTAGTACATGTTACCAACTGCTTGGTTGTCTGTCTATTCGCCGAGCTTGGCAGTTGGATTGCAAACGTTCCATCACCAATCGAGCTGACATCGTCAGTGCAGGGTTGAGTTGCAATCCAACTGCCAAGGTCGGCGAACAGTCCAACAACCAAACAGCGCACCTGAGCTACCTACATTCCACAAAATTGCTAATGTTACTAACTCCCTATGAGGTTGATTCCTGCCTCGCGGAATGCAGCTACTGGAATGCCCAATCCCCTGGTCGCACTACCAAACTTTAAAATGAGAACCCAGTTTCGCACAACGAAAAGCTGTTGTCAGTCGGACTTAGACCGCGAAAAACAAGTGGTTTAGTTAACAGCCCTTTGGCTGTTGATCGTGGTGATAGTTGACGGTTACCAAAGACAGTGTATAGAAAGATACTAAGAATTCTAAAAATGTCGAACGAGGATTAGGTAAGAATAAAACAGTTCATAGGGATACGCTAGCGAATAGCTTTTACAATGCGGAACTTGCATTAGGTGAGAACGGCGAGCAGGAAAGACATACAGAGGTGGAAAATGTCCAGAATTCTTTGTTGTTAGATGAAACAGAATAAAATTGCCTCCAATGAAGTCATATCGGTTGGAATAACCTGATATTTCCCATTGTTCAGAATTGGTTGTAAGAAACTATCAGTACTGTTACGCATGGAATAAATGTTTTTTTTTGGAAGGGAAGGCAGAAGATAAAGGTGATAAAATATATCTAGTACCCGAGGATGCTTGCCAATCAATCAATAGTTTCAACCCCTCCGTACAGAGCATAGTTTGTCACCTGAAAGACCAACAGAGTGCAGCGTCGAACTTAGCTCCACCATTGGGACCAGTTGAGTTCAAAAAGAGCAGCTAAAGAGCTATGACTTTGTGGCAAGTAAATGAGTATACAGAATGAATACCTATCATATGTTTCAAGCAAATAGTTGATGTTACTAATCCTGATGAATGTCGGTAGCTCGGGTGCGGTGTTTGGTTGTTGGTCTGCTCACTGAGCTTGGAAGTTGGATTGCAAACGTTTCATCACCAAAAGTCAGTGCACTGACAACGTGACCTCGATTGGTGATGAAACGTTTGCAATCCAACTGCCAAGCTCGGCGAACAGACCAACAACCAAATAGTTGATGTATTCACTGCATTCACTATATTCGCGGATGATAGGGACCGTGGTTCCATTCATTAATACCTTTTATTCGCGTAGATTTTGGTGCCCATCATAAGCCTCTCTACCGGACTTGTACCGTAGCAATGATGGGAGTAAATTGTAAGATTCCAGAATGTATAAAATGATTAAAGCTAAAGAAGCATGACATATATGAGTCTTTTAAAACAACTTAACTCGATACAATAGCCGTCCAAATGCCTAGAACATCCGTCTCGCAGAATGCAGCTACGCTCAAGCCCCGCATCTAACCGGAAGGCATCCAACTCTTCAGGCTTTTAGCCGAAATGTGGTGAAACTGAGCAGGTCATCAAAGTGTGCTAGGTGACCCGCCTCATTTATGTCGTAGTCAATCAGTAAAGACAACGCAAATTATACGTAAGAGGATTGGCGTGTCTATGGAGCTTGTGATTGATTTCAGTGTGACTGGGCGTCATAAGAATAACCGTTTTGCGGTGAACAAAGGGTTTTTGGAGTGATTTTTACTACCTGAACAACCGGTGAAATATCGGTAGTGCTCAGGTGTTGCGTCCGCTTGTAATCATAATTAATCACATACTGTTACGTTCAGTATGCTGACCATTTCGTTAAATTTTCATGTCTGAACATGATCCGTTTTTTTTGAAGGTTACCTGTAGGTCAGTTAGCTAATTTATTCGATCAAACAGCAAATAACCTTGTTTGATAGCTCCCTGTGCTTTAAAAAGGCGTTTTATGGAATGATGGCTAACTTGCAAAAGGGAGTAGCACCTCTGGCTTGGTTATTTCAATTCAGTGTTTGCGAGACGAACGTTAGCGTCCTACTGAAATGCAAATCAGTAGTAATCCGGTATCCGTTCAAGAATGTGCATGCCGCATCAGGTCAATGGACTCCCCGGCAGAGTGGTTGTTACCACAGGTTATGTTGCACAAATGGTGCGTGTAACAGCTAAACAGGTGGTCAAATGAGAAGATGATTATAGAACCACCCGCATGTAATGTTGATGGACCATGACTGATAGATAAATTGGAGAGGGGTAAAAATTTACAGCTCTTAGTAAAAATACCGATTGGACCCAAGGCCCACACCAGGTCCACACTAAAGTCACGTATTTAGTGAATTCGGGTGAAATATGACGTGGCGAGTTTCTAAATATGGCAGCTGCACATTTTCAATTCCCGAACACTAATCACACTATAAACTATAGTGTCAGGAGGTTTTGGAATCGTACGATCAATGAACAGGACAGTATTTAATGTCAGTCTGTCTTTTTGCTACACACTCTTTCGTTTTGCTCATGTGAANCTACAAACTCTTCGTTTTGCCCAAGGGGAGGTACACGGACGCCCGCTGGTTGTAGGCCATTTTGTAAAAGGCCACTGATGTTTATTCGGGTTGATACAGTCCAAAAGTCCTTCCGGCTCTGTGAACCAATAAGGAATTTAGGGAGTAAAAAGGTGTGAATTATGTATTCAGCCAATCAGCATTTATGTGGGCACGACATATGAAGGTCTGGTCACAAGAGCAAACAGTTAGGATAGTTTCGTAAATTTTTAGACTCAGGAATAGTTGATTTTAGCAAGCTTTACCAACACAAATAGAATTCCGGATAACTTTTGCTTGGCTGGTTGTAGACTTGTCGGGCAACTGAAGGCACATGCTGTGAACCGAGCGAGTTAGAAATAAATAAACGTAGCGTGGTTGCGGAGGAAAAGTCGGCAGATGTTTAGGGTGTCAGGTTGCCTTAATCATTTTGGTTTTCATTAAAACGAACCTTTAGTCAACTGACTTTTGTAGGTGGACGAGACAGACAAATAGGTTCACGACTATCAGAATACGCAGTGTGAAGAGAATTGGATATTTTATCTTGGATTTCGTCCTGTAAGCGAAACCAATCGAAAAGCAGGGTGCAGCTGTTTGAACCCTATCGGAAATCATCAACAGTTCGCGCTTCACGAATCTCCACGAAACTGCATCCCGTCTGAGTGCGATCCAGTAACACTGTCAATCAGCCGCTCGCCGCCGAAAAGTTAAGCGTTCAAGAGGCTTTTTGGATTCCGTGTGATACGTACTGTTGTTGATTCCCAATACGAATGGAGTGGGTGTAGAGCGCTTTTCGACAATATTCATGAATTGGCCTAACTTATCGTATGAAACCCCTATACTCAATAGATTATTGGAAATTCTTCAACATCCCACGACCGGTCTCCCAAACCAGAGGTTCAGCTAAGAGTTGGCTGAATCTTCTGCAGACACCAATATAACACCATTCTGATCTAATCAGCAGGAAATCATGCGCCTCCTAGCCGAATGAAAGTTTGCAGAAACTAAACGCTGGTGAAAAGCATCAGTCAAGACCAAATTTTGTGGAGAACCGCCACAGAGGGTAACGCTTGCGTATCCGCTATCATGATTAAGCTTGCCTGCACTATGTTGCGTCAGTTAAGGAAAGCAAACAAAACCTGATTTTCTATTTACGTCAGTTAATCGTTAATGATGGATGATTATTTATGGGCTTACAACAATACGACGTCGATCCTCTAAAATTTCACTTTTGGTAACCTATCATCAAATACTGCACGTTGTTGAAACTACTTTGGCCTCGAGGCAATTCCCCCCATTCATTTGCCTACTTCGCCTATGTACTTTTGACTATCCACTCGTTTTGATTATCTGTACCCGCTACTGACCTTGCCGCAAAGGCCGTCCCATCCGATACTTGTGTATTAGCATGACTTACGAACTCAATTCTTCCTTTTGATATTCGGCATTGTCTAACCTACGCGTCACTCATAGTTCCGTGTCAGGAGTAGACGAACCAGCCAAGTTGCAATTTTCAGACTTTTGGCCAATACATCTTTCACATAAGGCCCCAAATAGTCACATTCTGCTTGAAATGCGAACATGACACTCTCCGTCCCAGAATTACACCACTGAAGTTAGGATGGATAGATATTAGTAAGGAAAATACAAGCTTTCCCCTCGCTGGCGGTGATATCCTAATGTTCAAATGTTCTAATCAGCCTCAGCTTTGAATGTGCGTTCGTCGAATCTTTCAGCAACGGATTTTAAAACGAACTTTGAGGTGATCTGCCAAAATGTGGGAAACCCAAATATGTGTTGGTTAATTAACCACCTTCCGGCTTTGAGCATGTCAAAATGACTTTTTTTTCGAAAGCAGTACCTTCACACAGTCACTGTCACAGACAAAACAGATTTGTTGTCTCACAGTTCAGTCACTAACACGGCTTGTTCTCTAATAAGGTCATGTATTGCAACACAACAGATAGTCTATATGTTTCTCCAAAAGATGACAATCCCGTAATAGGACCAGATTTGCTTGGTTTTTAACGAATTCGCCATCGAAAGGTGGTACTCTACCCGAAACAGTTTTAATCCTCTATAGAAAGAGTATAAAAAGGTACTTCATAATAATGCTTGCTGTCAACGCTTAGCCAAAGAATGGGGCGAAAACATTTGTAAGATGCGAAACGCTTAAGCCGAGGGGGTGAAGTACAGTGTGTAGTGCAAAATTTATGGCACAGAATATCACGAAATTGGCTCGTAAGATGGAACATTCAAGTGGTAAACAGGCTTATAATGAAAAACGAATAAAAAGTGACTAAGTATGCAGATAGTGTTCTTATAATCCTGTACCCAAATCGCGATTGTACTGGGTCTTGCTGCCAATACTGGTAAGAAATGGTGCGATAATGTAGGCATACCGAGGCACCTTGCCTGTATTCATTAGCTAGATGGAAACGATTTGAAAAATATCAGTAAGGTCAGCTTCCTGAAAGCAACCACTCAATGCCCCAAACCTACCGAGACTCTCAGCTCGGCTAGATGTTGACCAGACAGAAAACACCCACTCAACATGCAGCGCCTCACAGCCTTGTATCAAACCCAGACAGCGAGAGTCGACGTTGATCAAGGTCAGACAACACCTCCGCAATATGCAGCACGTCGCAGCCTCGTTCCAAATTCAGACAGCGTGCTTCTGCATTGGACCATATTGAGACAGTGTCCTACAATAAATAGCTTGAGACCGTTGTACTTTTGCACTCGCACGCACTCACGCTTTCGCACCCGCTTGTCCGGAATACAGCTGTTGTATCCCCTTTTGTGAGTGTTTTTTCGGCATTAGATACTGGAGCGGGTCAGCACAAGATACCAAAGGTTAGCGCATCAACGGCTACAACAAAAAAGGCAACCGGTGACGTCGGTGCCCACTTCCAAGCAAACAAGCCTGTCATTGGGAGCAAAAAGTAATGGACTTCCATTCTACCGAAAAGGTTTTAGATGACAACAATATCAAAGCCCCGGAGCTTTTTTCATACAACAAAGCAATCTCTCTTCCGACGGGAATCGGGAAGTCCACCAACAGTAAGGAAACGCGTTTCGTGAAAAACCGATTATATTCAAATAGATGGCCAGCGGGCAACGCTAGCAAACTTACTTGTTCATTGTCTTCACTGCCCACTGCTTTGCATGAGATGCGCTCGGCTGGACATACTTGTACAACGGACTCATATCTCACCGGGGAACTTTGAGCGTCAGGACGGAGTGTCGGCTGAATATCGTTCGGTTCGTTTTGTGCAAGACGCTCCTCGTTAGGGAAGAAGACAAAATAAAATGAGAATTTATGAGAAAACCTTGGGAACAAGCATGTAGGATTCAATTTGAGTTTAGGGAGCCGAATAATGTATGAAGCTCACTGGCGTATTGCCACCCGTGGATAGATTAGCTCTTCACTGAATATACTTACACCAATCAAGAGTGCATAGTTATTTGGTCACATTTCCTGTCTCCTCACTAAAACAAGATGTGTTTTAAAAAGTAAATTGTAATTTAACTATGATGTTGCTACTACTAGAATAAGTGTAAGATATCCCGACATTGCGCTCAGGGAGCAATCCAGGTGATAGTGCCTACAATGAACTTGGTTCAGGTTTGGTTCAGACTAAGGTGAGTTCGCTACTAACGCGTTAATTAACCACTGCTCAAAGTTAACCCCTGCACGGTTTTTCAACAAACCATAAACACAAAAAATCCACCTCAAAACTCGTTTAAAAACCGTCAGAGCGCTACTAATGAAAGGAGGAATGCCTTCGCTGCGGAGTCGTTTATTGGGGAAACACCAACTGAACAGTTACAGACTCCTAGACAGGGAACCAAAATTCTCATATGAATTTGGTTTAGAAAAATGAATATCCATCTTCTCCCTAAACGCGCCTTCTTGAACTTCCCTGCATGTTCTTTGACAATGACTCAAATGCAAGCAAATGCTACAAAGCGGCTCCACAAATTCCGCAACAGATCTCGTTTTTCAAGAGACGCGAAGCGGATTTACGAGAAAACTACTCACGGGCCTCATCAGTAGTATCCACCGTTAATCTAATATTTATTATTACTAGATTTTTGTAATAATTCGCTTATTCCCTTCTTGAACTACCACTCTTTCTACTGAGAGTTGCGAGCATTTAGTTAGAGGTGTTCTGTATGCGGCAGGCTGAAACATGGTGTTTTGGAAATTTTAAGGTGACGCGCTCTTTTAGTGGCTCTGTACTCGGTCTAACTTCATTGTCTACGCATAACACCGCGTCTGTGACTTTAGTTATTTCCTTGTGCTGATTACGTGCTAAACATTAGTATAAATAGCTCAACTTCTGATTCCACAAGTTACATCTAGTGGCTGGGTTATGATTCAGTAACCATCTATAATTGGAAAGAAAATCTTAGAAAGAGGGGACCGCAAACCTTCAAGTAATGATTCGCGAGTTCCAGCTCCCGCAATCTCTTCATTTGTTGTTCCAGACGCTGTTCAGCCATCTCAAGTCGCCCGTTGGCTTTACTGAGTTGGGACTTGGCAACAGAATGGACAGTCTCCACGGCTTTGGTTACAGCACCTTCTACCACTCGGGGTAGAATTGAATGCAGTTTTTCAAGTTGACTATCCTTGAGCTACATGATATACAGAAGGAAGTCAGTATCATTATCGAGAAAATCATCACTGCTCTTGTCTATCGAGGTTACTCAGGTGTGCGCCTAAAGAAATGTGTTTGGTAGCATCAGCGAGAGCGATAAATATATCCCAGTGTATTCAGGATTGCTTATCCTTATCTGGAATAGGCATTTTTCTCCAAAACCATTGTGCGTTGAAGGGCAACCTTTGAATGGTTCCTGGCCTCAATTTGATCACCAAGGCAGAGGGAGACAATATATTTCCTTTTGCGTAGAAAGCTCGTACTTCCATCTAATTTACTCGAAAAACAAAATTATTCATGTACTACTTATTGGTATGCTAAAAGCTAAGATTAAAAAGTGTGCTGATCATCACCATCATCGACTGCATCAGGGTACAACACCGATGCTTCACTGCCGTACAACCACGATTTATTTGAAAGCCTTATTGTGAAGAAAAGAATAAATATGGATGGGGAAGGGACTTGATTCTAGCTTACTACAATCATTCCGAGGTACCTACATCTCCGGACGCTCATCCAGCCACTGTGGATTGAAACTGACAACAAGGACGTCACTGTGGGATAAATGTCAGATTCCAGGAAGAGGTGGTCATCAAGTACAACGGAGCAGGTGAACCGTCAGCATTAAAGCCAATCACATCTGCTGTCATCAATTACGATGTCAGTGGCGACTATAGTGATGAGGAAGTAAATGGGCCATATCAGACTATTTTCAAGATTGGGGTTCTCAACATTTCGTCAGTTCGAAGACAAACACATAAAAATGACAATTCCATCGCACCAGTTCCTTTGTAAATTTGACGAAGGAGAGCTTTGTGCTTGGAACTAAAAGTTCAGTAAATGTTTTAGATTGACAAATCTAGTATCATGCCTCTTCTATAGGGACCCTACATGTAGTTTCTAACTTAATAATACGACAAAAGTTGTCAGCTCTGGAATAACCTTTAGGGTGTTGCCTATCTAGAATCATCGGGCTGGTTTTTTATAAACAAAACTCCTACCGGTTACAGTGAGTGTTGGTCATCGCCAGTAGCCCAACGCGCAATGGACAGTTCCCATACATATAACGGTTCAAATGCAAAACTTCGGAAAACGTATGTTTGAACAGCTAGAATAAAAATATAAAATTTTGGTGACCTCCTTGGTGAACTCTTCATTTACTATAAAGAGATAATCACAGCTGTGTGATATTTGGCAATGAGGCAGAGAAACTGAGCTCAAGACCAACTTCAAATTAATTGTAGGGTACGACCTAAAGGAATCGAGCTATCGGTTGTATTATTTTTAAGACTAGTGAGGTTGGCGTACTCCCTGAATTTCCATGTGTATTGCGTCGTATCTGAGCACCAAATGGGACACTTGGGTAAGAAAATACCTCTTTGGTAATGTGAGACTTGAATGAAGCTGCTCCTCAGGATAGTCCTTAACCGAATGTTCTACGAAATGGCCACCGTGAGGTTTGGTTAGGCTGCCTCAGGTTACGTGCTTGCATCAGAGTGAACCGTTTGGGTTTCAGCTGATTTTGCAGTATGAAAAGCTGTTATTAGCAGTGCGCTATTGGCCCTTGTAGTCATGATAGATAGCTGATAGAATGGATAGCGTCAGGCCTTTTGCGCAACCAGTGTCACCCCATGAATGGATGTGCCGATATGAGACCGTGAGAGTGACATAAATGATTTCTAAAACCGCGTTACCCCGTCACACCCTCCGGTTCAGATGTCCCTAGAACTTTGTTATACATCGCCTTCCATCCATCGTGTTGGTGAATCAAAGAATAAGAACGATATAAGTGATACTGAGAGTAGTTGAGATAGTCGAATCAGTAAGTTATGAAAATTGGTTCTACCGATTGCATACGACGAAGGCTTTAATGCCGATGCAATAGTAGTTCTATTGGTCTAACCAAAGTGTCCTCCCATTCCTAGTGCGAGCACATTTGTAGCATGACCAGGTTGACTTTCCCAGACACTCATTTCTCTTACTGTGCATAACAATCACCTAATTTTGCAGCGAAATTTATGATGTATGGAAACGCTTCTGATTCCCAACTACTTGTATTAGATAAGTAGCCAAGTGCCACGCCTAAGAGGGAGTGAAGCCGAGGACACAAAATTTCACTCCACTTCTCCGTCGGCCAGCTAAGGTATCAGACGCCGACCAGTCTGGTCTTCATTCGTAATGCACCTCATCCAACATGTATGGTTTGAAACACTTGGTGGTGATTTTGTTCCCAAATTCTAGTGCCGATAATTACTATCTGGGTGCACTGTGGTAGAGGAAATTGGCACTGTGGCCATTGAATTTCTGATTTTCTTCTATCTTTCGCTACATTTTGAGAGCATAAATCATATATCCGTTGAACTTGGTGCAATAACTTCAGTAGCAGAATGCTGTTTATTGGAGACATTGTCGGGTTAATGTCAGTCGACCTTGATCGCTTTGTTGCTTCTAGATGCACTACCAATGAACCATCAATCCACCATAGGTTACCAACGACAAGGTTCAACTCTAAACCGTCGATCTGTCCGAGGTAGGCATGTCGATTCGGCTTGTGCTGTGGTCCAATGCAGAGTTCTATCGCATCTTCCTGTTAAGTATGAGGGAGGGGCCACCGTTCAACGGTATAACAGCATTTTAGACCACAAGGTAAAAACATCCCGAATGTTTCTATGTAAATCTCTCATTTAAGAGCAGTGATTGCAACGAGGACATTGCCAAGCTATACATGATACAGAATATACTAGATTCCAGGAAGGCTATTGCCACTACTTTCCACCAGATGCTTCAGACCATGGAATCAGAGCTTATTTTTGAGGGACAATCGGAACCCGGGTCGGATCCCAGATTGTGTGGATGGAGAGGCGTGATCAAACGGAAGTTACAATAAATTGCGGATGGGGATGGAACGCGGACTGTTCCACGTGATCCTTACAGCCTAACGCAGAAGACCGTTCGCAAGTGAGTTAAGCGAAAACGACTTCGTAAATCTCAGCCACGACAAAAACTACCATTTAGTGTTTTTGTCTTCTTCCGCTATACCTTGGCCAAATTGTTTAAAATAACATGGAATGGAAAATGCATTCCAGAGGGTTATAATGAATGGGTTTTCCTATTTTTTCTTCAAAAATTTGTTCAATCGGCTGCTCCACAACGTCAAAAACAAATTTTTCGGAAACTAATATGTCATGTGTACTGCAAATGTGAAGCCTGACCACACGACTCTCAAAACTGAAAAGTCTGCAAATCTCAGTCATTTCAGCTTTCGCAATTCGGAAGCAGTACGTACGACACGTGATTGTGCCCAACGGATCATCATCATCATCATCATCATCATCCTCATCATTGTCAGCTGTAATAACCGCTTACTCGTCGTACAGTGGATGTAACTACCGCAGTTTCGTTCGCCGATGATTAGGGGGAAGGGTAGGTAGCTGCGCTTTGCAAGCGGGAGATGATAAATTGGTGTATAAGTCCAGCACCGTCAGTGGGCTGTCAAGTAGGGGGATTGGGAAGGGAGCTATGGCGCTCATGCATCCAAGCTATTGCCTTCAATGCATAGCCAGACGGAACACTTGGTACCAAAGCGTAGCCGTCAGAGAAGAAGATGAAACTCGCCAGGAATAGATAATGTCCAAACACTGCTTACTAAGGAAAGTGCTGCCTTTCATTCTATACCGTTGCCAGAAAAGGGTTCACGAAGGACCGCTGACGATAAAGCATAGCAAAACGAAGACGACGATTGTCATCCTTGGTGCTATGAAATCTTTGCACCCATTTGGATGGGTCTGTGGGATCCTGTCTGACTGTGGTCAAAAATCCCACAGGATATAGTGCAACAAAACTTTAGTAGAGCGTATGCCGTTACTTCCTAACCAAACTGTCTACCGGAATCCTGTTTGTCACTGTGTGCTCCGCCTGTGTTTTGCAAAGAGTACTTGTCATTCCTACTGATGGCGTCTGTTTAGACATGAAACACAAGGTGAATTTATTTTGTGAAAAACATGGGTGTCTTTTTTGTTTGTTTTTTTGAAATCATGAAGAAATATTTACGCAGTCCCGACCTTTGCCTGTCTCCCCACGTTCTATTGAGGCGTTCTTTCCTTATGGTTGCAACGCGACAAGTACTAACTACTCACGAGCGACGGTGCTTCTTATATACTTCGTTGCCTTGACAAGCCGTGCCGGACTCCTGTCTTCCACCAAGGAAGTGCTTTTAAAGACAGTCTATCAACCGTATTATGATGATCTAGTATCGCTTATTGCGATATCGAACTATCGGCTAATTTAGCTTTGGATATCCACACTTCACCCGTCATTCCATTCTTTATTATCTCATTTCTTCTCAATGGACGAAGAAGAGTTGAGCGGTGGTAGTGAACATTTTGGTCACTTCTGTTGCACACTCAATCTGACACTTGGTAAGGAAACCAATTAGTCTCCCGTCACAACCTAATCGGTATGCAGCTGAGTGTACAGGTCGAACTTCGTGCAATTTGGGTTCAAGTGGAACATAAGGTTGATGAAAAATTGGGGAATGTGCTTACTTGATGAGCCTCAAAAAGAGATACACCGGTCGTGAGCTTTGAAAGGGTTTCAGCAACCTTATTAGTAGTGTATGACGTCCAAACACGAAAGCTTCTTCGGCTTTTGCAATGGCAAACATGAAGAAGCATTGGCGTAACATGAGGAGGAGAACACCAACCAGATCTTTTGAAGTAACCGTCATCACTAACCTGGTATTTTGTACACAGTTTCTGATACTTCTCCAAAATTGTAGTGTCTTCCAGTTGCTTATTTAAGTTTACATTCAACATGTCTAAAAGATAGAAAAACGTAAATGAAGTTGGGTATCTTACACAAAAATAATACATTTACGTTCGGTTCCTTTGGTATGCGAATTCGTGGTTCCGTATTACTGCTCAAAACTCTATACCGAGTGTAAATGTCTTCGGCTCGCTTCGCATGTAAGTGAATCATTGAACTAGCAAGAAATGAACTGAACTCCTTGCGACTAAGAGCGTGTTTTATGCTTTAAATTGTATCTCGTACGTCTTAAAGACACACTAGCTGGTAGACGGAAGAATTCTACAGTAAAGGGAAGTGTGCCGTTAATGATGTCAGAATACTTTTATATAGCTGGACTTTACCTCTCCATGAGTTGACACAGAATAGATGAGCTCCAAACGACTTTAATGCAGTCACTGTCACCTTAACGCGATATTGCATGCACCAAACCTCGATTTTTTTTATGCACATCGTCTTTAGACGTAAGGTATAAAGACCCACCACATCAATCGTTTGAGGTACTCATTAGCACGATGCTGTCACGTAAATATTGGCGGTATTGTATCTACTCTCAGGTGTTCCTACTTATTGGTTTTCCATTGCTCAATAATTTTTTATGTTACACTATCCACTGTCACAAGCTGAATGACCTAAAATCTGTCCTCTACGTATACTCTCCCAGGTTCCGAGGCTGAAATAATGAGACAACACTTTCTGCGCAGCTGGATGGGCGGATAGTGCTCAAGAAATGCTGAGTGACCTGCAACGTGTCAGAGTTTGAAACCACGCTTTCAGCAAACTCCGTGTGGGTTAAAGTGACGAAAACATACCGGTAATTTGCAACTTCTCCTTGGATACGGTGTCCAGTTCCTCTCTCAATCGTTTTGTCGTATTCACTAGTTCATTGTGCTCTTGCTCAGAATTTGCTAGACGTGTTTGTACATTGTACAGATCGTCTTGCTATGGGTAAATCACAAAAGGATTTATTGGTTAGCACTTCGCAAAAGCAACAGTAAATTGTAAACCAGTTGTAATTGATTGGTTGTATTATTGTGGCACGTACCTGGAAGGGAAACTCATGTAAAAATCCCATCTATTTGTGGCTGCCTCCAAAAGATTACTTATAACTTTTTCAATAGAATTGGAGATTTCCGATGTCTGAATGGAACATCAATCCCGGAAGCTTGTTATCTCTCTTAGCCGTTGAGAAATTTGTACCCAAATTTTTAGACGTTCTTGAAGGTACTTGACTTGTTGCAACTTTCCTCTTAAAGCGCTACTCTAAGCATGAACAATTCTTGATAGTATCCATATGAAAAACAATTTCAGACACACGACGTAGATGGGATATTTTTGCGGTAAACTGTTAAAACCTTCATTACGAATTCGTTCCCGTTACTCACGTGACCGATCAAACCTGATATTCACGTTCTGTGTGGACTAATTTTATTTCATATCGGGCTCTTTCCTTGTCACTGAGATTTTAATTCCTAAAAAATACGATGCGACTGTGGTTGTGGTTGACTCCATCCAGCCATCATTCCAGCAACCTGAATTGTTCTGCTACTTTTGTCCAAAGAGGCCGGGGGTACGAATAGGTACACGGAGTGTGGCACCACTGTTTACAACTCAAGGCCGATACCACATGCGGAACTGAAAATTAAACAAAGCTTGACACATGGGACTAATTGTGGCATGGGGGTGTGATATCAGTCGCTGTGCTCTGTGAAAACAGTTACCCATAACTGTATAATTATACGTATACATATGGTTATCTCCCCGATTTATTTCGCCGGACAAAAGCCATTCCCCTGGAACGTTCAAAACGATCCTACTCTTTAGCAACGGTTTACTGAGAAACTCTCTCAGAGAATGAGAAACTGAGATCGTTGAGAATGAGTCAACGACCCTCTGCTCCCACACTATCCTTGTATTGGATGGGATTACTATATGCAGTACTACACTTACACTGAAACTAAAAAAACTAGCAAATTAAACCATATCAGCGAAGTAGTCGTACTACGAAGGAAGGAACCGCTTCAAATTTCGCAATTTCATCTAACAGAAGCACAGTTGCACTAGAGCGGGAAATGTAACAGCTAAAGTCATTTTTATTGAGAGTTGAATGCTTAGGTGGGTCCGTAGAAGCTTGGTAAGAACTGTCAGGTAACTTGTCATGCACGTGACTTTCCTTCGAACCGTTTTGCGTGGCTACGTTTGCTTTTTGTTGATGCAACCAACTGTAGAAGGATGGGTCAAATAAAAGGCACCGATTTGCCCTGATTTAATTATTACAATAAACAAAATTTGGCTGACTAGGACTTTCTAGCTCAAAAGTGTAGAACAGCATTCCACTGAGATGGTGTAACTGCAACCTCCCCTTACCCAAACGGGCAGCTACCAGAGACTAACGAATTCTGCTTGTGTGATACATACGAATGTTGTCTTGAAGAATTACCCAGATACTGTACCTAATACCGACTGGGAGATAAACTGCCAAACCATCTATCTCATTTGTTTAATCACTCACATGTTTCAGTCAAGCACTGATTTTGCATTAAAGTAAAGCTTGGGACACTTAAGTGCGATATACTTAAGCCCAACTAAATTGTGCTTAAGTATCGTCCAGCTTAGACCACCCGTGTCACAAGAAAAGGAAGCTAACTTAAGATCGTTTACAGATGATGGATGACAGTTCAAAGTGTTCAACTATTGACTTTGCCGTTATTTACCAACAGAAAATACTACTGAATCTTTGCGACCGAAAAACCGTGGAAAGCAAAGAATGAACCAATTATATGCTTCCGACTTTTGGAGCATATCTGCATATAACGACAGCTACGCCTAGAAAGAATCACCAACCCAAATGAAAGCTGAAAGAAATGATTGACGCAACACATTATTCAGCTGTGTGATACAGACGTAGGATTGGTCGATAGACACTTATTGCTCATGGCTATCCACGCCATCATAACATCTAATCATACCGATAAAACATTTAAAATGCTAATTTCAGAATTAAGATTCAGTCACGATGTTGATCAACCCCTCATAGTCAGATAGGTAAATGTTCAAAAACCGGCCGGGTTGATCAGCACAGAGTGACATCACTAACAGAGCAAAATCCTTAATCAAATGGAACTCTCTGAAAAGTTGCAATAATCACAAGTGAACTGTTAGGAAGTTTAAAAAACCGATAGATCCCAGAGTAGGGGTTTTGCTAGTTTTTTAAATTCTTCTTGGTAATTTTTTGCCTTAAAAACAAGTGTAGAGGAGGTCAGCAGATATCCATTTGATATCGCTTCCAGGTGGCTACATATTTTTGCACATCTCTAATGCTTCTCAGATATTTTGATCTTTTGTTTTTGGGGTAAATGATGCTTTGATTGGTTGTACATATCACTAAGATTTTGGAGTTTAGACCCATTTTGACATAACCAGTGACCTCTCTCTAACCCTTCGTTTAGGGAGAATGGGGTCGTCTGCGACTGGAGCACTGAGTATACTGTGAAAACTTTCTGAAGTATCCTATTTTGTTTCACCTATCGTTTTAAAAACGATTGCGACTATTCCCCCTACTGTCGCATGGCTGTAGAAGTGAATATCCACCCATTAAAAGAGCTTCTGTTGAAACCCAAACCCGTATGAGAGTGAAAGACTCAATGATGTTATTACTCACACGTATAACAGATATTGATTCTAGTTCTTCGTTCCAGTGGGTGAGGAGTGCAGAAGGGGGATAAATGTTTAGAATAATAAAACAAAAAAGTAATTAAGACAACCGTTACACTTGAAACCCACCAGCAACTTGGTTGTTTGGGTCAGGTAACTTATTTCTTGAAGCAGTTCCGATTCTCTTTCCGTCCATTTCCGTTTTGCTTCTCTCCAGTTATTTATAACCTCGTTAAATGTCGCTTCATATCTTTCCTTTGTAGTTTTCAGTTCATCTGCAAATTGAAGGTGTAATGTTCTTCATTTAAGCTAAGATACATATTTAAAAGTACAATTTTTCGCGCGCTTTTCCTTTAATGTAATTCAGTGGTAAAACTCGCGGGTTATTCGCTTTTGTTTTCTCTACTTTTCTCTCCATTCAACAAAACATGACATAACGTGACAAGGCTTCACAAATCTGAATAATTTTTGACGGCATCATGCAAGATAAAAAACGTTTAGTTTTATGAAGTTGTTAAGTTTGAAAAATGTTTCATAAACACTACTCTCTTTCAGGCAACCCTCGTCCTGCTGTAACGCAGCGGGTCTTCATTAAAGCTCAAAAGTGGTGATCTAGAGATCCGTTCATATGAAGGCTTACCAAAAGTACATATTCATAGGTATCTGAAATACAAATAAAGCGTGTCAACACACCCTACTCAATACATGTTGAACATCAATCGACTAAAAGTGTCTCGCCTTCCAAAACCCTGCAGTCACATGGCAGCATGGAGGTCCAACAAACGCTGGACTAGTTTGTGCTAGATACGACTGGTTGCGGGATTTTGTGATGATTGACTCTAGAATGCTCATGGATTACCCCATATTTTTGTGCGTTTGTGGAATGGCACAACCTCAGTAACATAGTTAGCGCTGAATGGTAAAGAAACTGTGCAAACGGAAGCTCTGTAGCTGCAAATCCAAAAATTTTGCAACCAGATGTAACTAATCAAAGGTTACCTACAGAATCCAGGCGTTCTTAGTGCAACCTTACTTGAAAATCCGGACAGGAAAGAAAACCCCCCAAAACGACAAACATAGTTATTGGATCATCTTTTGAGGCGTTAGGTAAATCAGCCACATGACTCAGGCTTTCGCATTTTAACATATTTAGGTTTGATAACCAGCATGTCTCCAGTATTCGTTGGTTAAGTTACCTTTTATGTAGGACGTTTGTAGTTTAACCTTTGTTAAGGTAAAATATATGCACAACCACATGAAGGGTGAAAAAGAGCCAGAGGCGGTCAAGCAATGACTTGGCAGCGAATTATGAAAGCCAAAACCAGTAAACATAGCTGCGCTGGTCACTGCTGTCTTCCTGGATGGGGACCCCGGAGCTGTCCACGTCGATGGTTAGGAACACTGTCAGTCATGGCTTAATCGCGCCTTCAATGGCGTTTGTGCATTTGAGCTCTTAAATTCATTGCATAGCTCCCTTCCCGACACCACTCACTCAACAGTCCTGTATTTACGCATTAATTTATCAGCCCCCGTTTCCAGTGCGCAGATACCTACATTACCTTTCCCGAATCATCAGTGAACGAATCTGTGGCAGCTAAAACTACTGTACGGCCAGTACGCTATTCTTACATCTACTGAGGGTGATCTCAAAAACGACGGTCTTTCAATCGGAGACTTACCAGGCATGTGCATGCAGCCTCATGGATCTAGACATAGTTACAAAAGATATTTTTGTTCTATAGGTAATACGTGTCTCCTAATATTATCTTTGGCAACAAATTACACTAACTTTTGTTCCAAAAAAACGGGCGTCAGGCACTTGAAGACGTTGCTACTCCGCTGAATGCAGAGACCACTTCTCAGCATTTGTAAAATTTACCCTTCGCACCTGCAAAGCAGGTTAGTTCTCCGTAACGACATACTAATTGAATCGTTAACCTTCGCAGAGAATCCGTCGTCCAGTATAAGGTTGGACGCCAAAGAGCCTAGGAAAATGACTGCGTTTGTTGACAGACATCACACTCAAATTCATTAGCAGTGTTACACATTGTAAAAGTAATCCAAGAAATTGCTCCGTACTCATGTGATCGAGGGTTCAACATAATATGTTGCAGCTTTACCGTGGAAAATCAGACGATATATGGCCTCAGTCAATGTCAATGTAGGTTATTTGAACGCCACCAGTGTTGTTTGAATGTTCTAGAGCCACATTCTATCTCATTGTTCTCCAGGAGAAAAGAGTGTGGGTGAAATATCGGCAACCCGCGACCGGTATTTTAGATAGAACTTATCCACATACACATGCTAGACGGTGTCAACCTTATTGCGGCCCACGTCAAATTGTTACTAATTATTTTTGGGCGTTTGGAAACTACTTGGCTTACTTTAACGCTAAATTTGTGATCCAGAGTAAGGTTTTTAGTGCAAATTTTTAGCGTGTACAGAAAATTGTTGCAACGAAGAACGGCAAAGCGGTGTGAGCCATTTGGTCACACGCCCCGCAGAGTTTAATGTATGTTATCCAATTTAAACTGCCGTCAAGCTGTTTGACCATTTCTGTCTAAGTAGCAGTGACTTAATGGAACACGAGATATTAGTATCCAATCCGCGTTGATGATTAGCAAGGTTCATCTTGACATTCAGTTTTCGCGCTAAGTGTTTTTGCCGATATCCCCATAGTTTTTCTTCAAACAGAGATCAAACTCAACCTAGACAAAAAAGCTTGAAGAATGTTTTGCTTCTTCCATTTGGAAGGGTCTTACCGACAGCTGCTTCTCACGTTGTGGTGCCGAAGTTGCTGTATCGACATTCTAAACATGGCTAAAATTTGCACCGCCTGCATTGAGGCTAGATGACTGAGTATTAGTGAGTACGTATATTACAGTCTCGAGATCAGATGTTGAGGCGGTGTCATTGCACCTTTCTCCTTTCAAATCAGGAAATTTGAGCTTCCATCCTGATTTTTCTCCATGCTTTGTGTGCTGGTGATGAGTCAGTTTCCTAACCAACACTGATAACTGGCCTATGGAAGAAAAAACCCATTATAACCCTGTTGGATATTCTTCCTCAGCAGTTCGCTAAAACCACAGACTTTGGTTTACTAAATATCATGAGGTTTGATTTGGCTCACTCACTAAACAGGGCTTTATCCTCCATACGTTTCTTCTTCTTATTGTCCTAAACGCTTTTTATCCGCAAAGCTAATCAGGCCTCCTGATGGATTCCTGCACAGTTTAAGCCGTTGTTTGCAGGCAAAGCACTCAGCAAAGCTGGCAGTCAAGTTGGGGCGTACTCGCGCTTAATGTGACGGATTTCTCCTCCCGAGTTAAATGTGTTTAAGGAACAAACACACTGGTTGGATAGTCCTTGGCTTAAATCCGACTTCTGCATCTCAGTTGCTCCTGTTCAGGCATGGCAGCTGGTTAATAGAAGGTTACTGTAGCTAAACCAAAACCCTCTCCTAAATATGCAGCACATGCAGCTTGTCCATATTAGAGCTCACCGACTTCATCGAGTGGTAGAGCCTACTTTAAACGCTGTGCTTCCCGTACTCGCTTCTGTAATTCTGGTCATCATATGTTTGATAAGTAGATACTCACTGTTCTCCACCATCATCTGTAAAATTTAGAGCTATAGTTGACCACTTTAGGCGTATTGCTAAAGGATTTTTTGATTCTGTGAATAGAAACTCTAGTCTAGGGTGGCGACAACATCTGTCCGAACTAATCGCCCCGAGTAAATTTCGTAGAGCTTCGGTTTGTTCATGACGGTTTACAGCTGAACTTGATATGAATTAGACGCTGGCCATTTTCCATATATCTCCCACTAAGAGTGAACTGAAGTCATCCACAAATACATAACGTAAGGCTCGTGATATCTCGTAGGATATCCTCACCCAACTCAGACCGAAATTGTTTGGACTAGGGTAGCGGACTCTCGATAGGATAGCACCTTTTTTTCCTTATCATATTCCTCAGGCACACAGTTTCCCGAACGCACTGACAGTTTAAGATTGTGGCGTTTTGTACCTTTATTTTACTTCACTTATAACAATACGTATTTCATCAATTGCATAATCGTTTTTTGTTTGAATACGAAAAACTAGAAAAACGTGCACTTGTACAATTTCACATAATACGAGCGTGGTCACTTGCTTCGACTCTCCTGATTTCGCTCGTGCTTGCAGCGGTCATTCGCGAGTCTCCTGTACTAACTCTGGTACCAAAACATTTCAGACCATCTTCGGAATCTGGTGCATGTGGGAGCCGTTCACAAGAAGACTTCTGGGCCATCATACTTGGATTATTGTTTATTCGCTGACCTGGGCCAACGACGTGTAGCACTTGTAAACTGCTCTTTTTCATGCTCAGTATCATCATCTTTTTTCCCATCATTATCAGTCACATCGCTGTACAAAAGTTTGTTTTACTGAAATACAACCGCTACCGCCCGCGCGTTGGCTCCAACGTGACTTTGAGACTTCTGCTGAGTGACTGTTGTTGTGACCGCCGGTTAGCTATATCTGACCGCTGC